ATTACTCTTTAATGGATTGCGATAATAACTGTTGGTTCCTCTTGCTGTGACAATCTTGATTTTTCACAATTTTATTTAAAAATGTGTTATTTTCTTAACATTGCGGCGAATGCTAGCACCTCTCGTGGCTGTAGTGGTCACGTGGACGTATGATATACAACATAGGGTTATTGTATTTATTTTAACAAATCACATAAGGTTATTTCATATAATTTTCATAAATGTTCAAACTGACTGCCCTTAACATTAATGCATGCACGTAAATAGAAAAAACGATGGCTGGTGGTCAAGGGCAAACGATCGAATGACAGCCAAATGAGGAAGCATTCCCAAGAGAACTTCCTCTGTGGAGATGGATCAATTAAATCAGCTGGGATGCAGGAGCTAGATGGATTGCTGCATTAAGAGACCGTGAGCAGCAACGGGTAGATCATGCTTCATGATGATACTGATGGTGAAGATGTGTCTGGGGTTGCCAGACTTAAACGTCTATCCTAACGCATGCGGAAGGTTCTAAGGTTATGTAGCAAATCGCATTTAGCCCATTTGTCCCTTGGAGAGCCAGTGCCCAGAAAAGGTTAAATCTCTGTGCCTCGATGCTTTTTTTGATGTTGCTCAAAACCGAAAGCAACAGATACTCGTTTTTTTAAATAATAATTGTGAACTCACAGTTGATTGAATCTCTCATTGAAAGTGGATCCCGGCCGGATTAAAAAGTTCAAAATGCCGATCAGCTCAAAGTGCACAATCTGTCAGTGGTCCTAGGCACACGACGGAGCTGGATTAAACTACCTTTGAAATGTTAGGACAAATACGACGAGATGGAGCGTAGCAAAGGGGTCAGATCGAGATGGCTCCCTAGGGAGAAGAAGGGCACTTTAAAGACGATCTGATAACGTGTCACCTCTCTGCACCATTCATTCTGGCTTTCAAAACATCTGCTGCTTCTTTCATCTTTCGGTCTCGATAAATAACTTCCAGACTATCCCACGCCCTGTATCACTAACCCGTGCAAAATGTCATTATGCGCACGTGTCAGTAGGAATTTTTGGATTATTTCTTTTTTGCCTCATCTGATTCTGATTGTCATCAAACCCATTTATATGATGGCTCGTGTGAATTCCGCAGCCAGAATAATTTGCATTGTGTGTCGAAGCTGTATTAAAATTCAGGAACTTCATGAGATTGCAGATGACAAATGTTCCGATTTTTATGTGGAACACACTTGCAGGTTATTTCTGTATATGTCTGTGCTGTCTAGTTTTATACATGCAATGGTCTACATCCACCCCACGATTACATGCAAATTTTCACGATTTAGAGTCACGACCTGGCAGTTGATTAATAATATATTTGTTCTTGTTCATACTGTATAATATATACCTTGTGCTTCAAAAATGTTTTAACACTTGAGAATTTGCAACAATACCCCAAAAAATATGCCTCCCAGGCTCTGGAGACCACCTGGAGAAGATTCCAGGCAATGTGTTGACAATGATGGCGAACAAGTGGAGACTCTTTGACTTTTTGAAGCTAATAACATTTACATTGGTTATCACGTTACAGTGTATATCCGTTCTATTTTCATTAAAAACGACAGTCCCGTTTAAGTGCTAAAAAATGTTCGAAGCACCCTGTATCTTTCTTTCCTGACTGACATGCTCTGATTAATATTGTTCCATATTGTTTGTTCCACTATCCTAAAGGTAACATTTACACACGATCTGCATACTATTTTTCACAAAACCGAAAAACATAACCAAATATTACACACATGCACAATTCGATGCAACTGTTGTCATCATGAGATATAATATAACCGATGATTGTTTGCATGTGTGTAGTAATTTAAGTTCGTGTATATGTTGAAAATTGCTAAGTGAACTTGGCAGACTGGTGCAGTAAAAGTGGGGGCCGCCCCCACCTCCCACCACCATTGTTGTGTTGCTCACCCCCCTCCCCCTCCTTCCATACCCGCAATAAAAGCAAAGCGGTTTAAAAATGAATAGGATGCTCGTGTATGTTATTCTATTTGGTAGATTTTGTTTTGGTACGTTCTTTCCCCCCCTCCTCACTTGCCTTCCCTTCTCCTAAAAATACCATGCTCCCATAAGTTAGTAGAGCAGTGAGCCCACCTATATCCATTTCTCCTGCCCTGTGAGCACCTGGCCTCGGGCTTTCATCCGCGGAATATGTGCCACCACTTTTTTTTATCGCTCGCACTCTTTACCGGGCTCAATATTTGAAAAAAATTATACATGACTAATATAAAAAAAAACATTTATGTTTCCCACCCTATATAAACACACAATTGTAACTTTCAATTGTATCGAATGCATTTTTAGTTTGTATTGTGGCGACCCAGGTCATGATTGCAAATGAGACTTCGTCCTGGTCTCTTTGATACAGTGCACCTGGCTTGGCACAGGCGACGTGGTCCCGTCACCGTCGCTTAGTGGCGAACGGCGGGTACTGATATATTACTGGTATTGGTCTCTTGGAGTTCTCACCTCTGGTTAAGCAAAATAAGCTTGACTTCTTGACTTGTCTAGAGGATGGATATGGATAGATTCTAAAAAGTCCCAGCCCATCAGTAGTCCCTGCCACAGAAAATACTTTTGGGGAGTTGCACTGACTGCATTGTACAATTATTGCATGTACCAACCGTGGGCGATTTACAAAGAATGAACGTTAAGGCTATTGGTACCAAGTAAACTCAATTATCCAACACTCAAAAATACTAAGAAACATCATAAGCATTGTACAACTCATCCGTCTCGCCACTTCATGCCAACCAACTGGCCACTCTGAAACGATATATATGTATGGGCAGTGGATGTGACCAGAGAAGAGGCATATATGACCCCACACTGCCCCCCCCCACCCCCCGGTTCTGTGACAGCTCAGAGCTGGCTCCACTAAACCTGCAGGAGCAGCTTTTGCTATTTATACTGATGACAAGGGTCAAATCTCCGTGGCGACATCACCGTAGCACGGCAACTCGTGTGTAAGACAATCCTGGCAAGTTTCCATCGGCGCCAGTAAATCATCCCTCGCCGGGGTGCCGAAGCTGTCACCCCGAGTGAATTCTGCCACCCAGCGAGAGTCTGCGGGAAAGGTGAACCCACCCTTGTGGCCGAACGTTGCCTCCAGTCCTGGTGCCACCCAGGGCAGCTTTGCTGCCGTGTTCCTTCATCAGCAGCAGCAGTTGTCGGCGGCGGTGGTGGTGGTGGCAGAGTCAGCAAGCCAGCTATATAATCTCATCCTTTCTCAAGTGGCAGCATGCCCGGGGTGACCAGGAAACGCACGTGCCACCGCGACTATCGAGGTGACGCCAAACTATTTTAGAGTTTTGCTCTCAGGGCACGAGCAAGAAACAGGCTCTCGGGTTATTGCACTGATGAAATGCCGTGATCATTAGTTGCTTTTAATACATTGTGATATGAGCTTTTGCATTATAGTGTAACGACCCTCCGCCAGGATTTTTTTTCCCATTAAACTGTAACTACTAAACATGAATCCGTATAGGAATCTTTGTTAGTTAGGATGTGGCTTTTCTTAAAACATTGTGGGTTGATCGTAGCTATGTTATAATGCAGCCGGCACATATTCCAAACGCAATGGACATGCGTCTTGTGAGCTATAGCGATCGTTGCAGTTGTGCCTACGGGGTATGGCGAGCCAGCGTGATGCTAGCCGAATAATGCGGTCACATAATTGCTATGGTGTCACTGGGTGGCCATCGTCATTGAACGCTATTGCCCTTGAGCGGCGTCAAGCGTGTAGCCCGTGGTTATGTCGATGCGTCAATGTATTCCTGACCCACACCTGGAAATGAGACCGCATTACATCAGTACTAAAATTACTCCACTGCCTTCCAATCCAATGCCAGATCACATTCAAAATCAAACTCACAATTTTCAAGCTATTCCATGGACTTGTCTCTGTCTACCTCTCACCTTTCAGGAAATATAAAGGACAAGTTAGACATTTATATATCGTGGCTCACCACCAAAGTGAGTCGGTGTGCATGTTTTAATTCATTTGGCAATTGCATATCAAAGTTGATTTTCGATTGGCTTTCCCAGTGAGTATTTAAAATCTGATTAGACATGTTTAATCTGTCAAAATAAAAGTATAATATTTCCAGTTATTGCCTTCGCAAACCCTTTATTCCAGCATGTATGCAGTATAAGTTGAATGAGCAATCATAAAACGATGAAAGCATAGTAAGCAAAGACATTTTTGAAAGCGTCGATGTGTGTATAAGAGTGTAGTGACACCGGGGATGCCACTGTATGGTGCCGGCCCGGAAGGGTCGTGCTGTTCGATGTTCCTACATCGTGGACAGCACCGTGTGGGAGGCTGTGTGTAACACCAGCCCTAGCGGGGCTTGGCGAGCACTGGGATAGTGCGGGCACCACGCACAGCGTGTGGTGGGGGCTCCCCCGAGGGGGAGGGGGTGAGTGTCAGCCCAGGGGCAGGGTTGCCACGGGCCGTGGCACTCTGGTTGACCCCGTAGACACGTGATCCGGAATGTCCACACAGGGGGCCCCAAGTGGGGGGTCTAGTGGGTGATCACGTGTCCGGGGAGAGCTCTTGAGAAGGATCAAGGGGGAACGAGAATGTTCAAGAAGGCGGGCGGGGCCGAGGGCGGAGAGGGATATAAGGCGGGTCCCTGAGAGGGAACGGGGTCTCTTCGTTCTATGAGCTGGAAGCTCAACATCAAGAAGTGGGAAGCTCTACGTCTCAAGGGACCACGTGGTCGGAGACCCGAGTGAGGGTCCGACCCTTCGTAGCAGTAACTCCCCTGTATGGTGTAGTTAGCTGGGTGGTCACCACCCTCGGTTGTATCTGGTCAAGGGGCAGTCTACCCATTTGTGTTACGGTGTTACAAATAAATGTGTTGCCTCTAAAAGGAACGTCTGCGACTCAGTTGGACTCACGACAAGAGCATTCACTTTTTTATTCAGGAAATAAATCCTTAATTTATTGGAGCATAAAACAGATTGAAAAACTTAATCACAGACAGCATTAACTGGCAAAACAAGTAAGACTCATCGCGGTGGTGAGACGAGCTGATGGTGCCTTCTTCCGAGTAGCTGCACAGAAGCTCCTTCCCAGATAGCAGCGGCACATTCTCAACATGGGCTTGGTCCACATAACAGGATAGGGTGTTCATCAACTGCTGCAAAGACAAATACAAAGATTTCCCATATATCCTCGACAGACTGTTGGGGCAAGTGCTGTTAGCGAGCACCTACGATGGCCGGCATGGCACGCGAGGGAGTGGGTGGCCAACACCATGCCGGGCCGCCTTTGTCTCCCTCGTGGCAATGTTTTTAAACATCCCACTAGGTAATCGATTGAGGCTACGTTGACCTAGGGGAGGCCCAAGACCGGTTCAGACAATCGTCACTGGGAATTGAACTCGGGTCGCCGAGTATAACAAAGTCTAGCAAGCAATATATATTTTTACGTGTATCTACATTTAAACAAATTTCGATGTTTTGTGTTGCATATTCCTTCAATGATGTATAGCAGCAAATACCTGGAGTCATGAACACAGGGCTTGCTTGTGAGCTTGAACCAGACCCACGTGGGCTCTTTATGAGCGCCTCCATCGCACCACCATCTAAGACGTAGCAATTAATCTTCTGGGAGATCGTTACATCCTGGGCGCCAATGCTCTGGTAAAACGCCATAGCAGACTTGTTCCGGTTGTAAACGTAGAAACACACTGAGGAGCAGTTGTTCTGTGCAGCAGTCTCAGCCACCCTTTTAAGCAGCGCCTTGCCAATTCCATTGTTCCTAAACTCTGGCATAACATAGATGCTGTCCATCGTGATCGATCGCCCATTGATGGTGTCATAGGAGTAGAAATACAGACTGTAGCCCACTGTCGCTGGTTTGCCACTAGACCCGTGCTTGGGAGCCATCTTCACCACCACACATTGAAAGATGGGATTCTCTCCAAAGCCGTTCCTCCGTAGGTCTTCTTCAGAAATTGTTGTCTCGTGTTGGCGACTCTCATACGTAGCCAGCTCCATGCACATCCGCCAAATTTCCTCGACATCCTCCATCACCGCCCGTTTAATTTCAAAAACGGCATAACTCATGCTGAATTGCTGTAGCGTGCAGTGTATTATTTTGTGAATTTCTATTTCGTTTGTTTACACGACGTTACAAATTAAACTCCTAATTAATTTATTGTGTAAAAACAGAAAATGTTCCACGTGCGGTTTCTACAGCAGGTAATCTGGACTGTGACAGTCGTGATGAGGTGTGCAACCTGGAATGCATCTTGATACAAGTACAGCAGTGTGCTGTGTTGTATTTGTGTCCTGCGCTCACTGTGCCTCGGTCCTTCCTGGCCGTGATCGTCTTCTTGGGCACAGTTGTGGGTGGTATTCAACAATAATTAACAAACAAAAAACTATAATTCTCCGGTGTGATCTTGTTGCTCTCCACGCTTGGACACAAGAAATCCAGGAGACTCCGTTGTTTGTAGTGAATCAGCCTCTCCAGCACACGAGTACGTGGGACCATCTGAAATGACCAAATTTGCTGTCAACTTCACGCCCCATGCCTCACTGATCAAATCACTGCGCCACGCCGTTTCTAAAATCCACAACTACATGCAAATCTGTGCGCGTATTAACACAGAAGCCGCCGAGCGACTATTTCGAGCCCTCCGCTTTACCGATTAATAATGTAATTAAACAATACGAACTTAAAGCAACTTATTACAAAATAAAAATGTTTATCACCACTATTCCAGTCATCCGTTGATTGTTATAATTGATGACTCCCCTGTGCACTCAAACACGCCACAAATACTCGTAAAATGAAAAAAAAAATCTCAATTTGAAAACTAATTTCCTGCTTAAAATATTTAAAACTTCACTAACACATAGGATGAACTTTTTATTGATTTTTTACAATAATGTTTAATAGTGTATTGTATTACATTGTCTCTGTTTTTTCTTTTTTACATTTTCTTGTTTCATTGTATGCAATGGCAGAGATTAGGGATTAATAAAGTACAACCATAACCACAATAATATAAACAGAAATATATTTTATAGCAATATATTGGGGGGGGGGGGGGCATTTTGAGCATATTTGAATATATATTATAATTCAAAATTATGGTTCAAAATAAATGCATCTCTGAACTGAAACGACCAAATGTGCTGTCAACCTTACGCCCCACGCCTCACCGATCAAATCCCTGCGCACATGGGATTAATTGTAGGTTTAGAATTATTTGTACTTACACCAAAATTAACCTTTTTTAAAACTCATCTCCAAAACCTTCATTGTAAATGTTTCTGGGTAGCACGCACTTTAGTACTAATTATTACTTTATCCTCATCAATTAATTTAGATTCGAGTGTTATTTTTAGGGTTACAAGTTATATGTTGACGGAGCTCCCTAATTCCGCGTCTCACCTGTGCCACGCCGAGCCGAAATTGAAATCGGTGCCGTAACACGCCGACTCGTTCACACGGAATCGATCACACAGAATCGATCACACGGAATCGAATCGATCAGTGATCAGCCCTTTTGCACCCTTCAGCAATTGTTTCTTGCTGTGGTTGTCCCACCTGATGACGGACACTTGTGTTGCGCCTGAAACGTCGTGATTTAATTTAATTTATTTTATACCTACGTGACTTTACGTATGGATCCCTGCAGTCACGAAAACTTCAAATCTAGAGTGAAGTCTCTCCTCCATCGCACCGGGTCATCAATTTAGCACTTTGTCAAAAATATGTTCAATAGAAAAAATAATAAGGTTCTCCTTATAATACTGAAGCGCGAAAATATTCACCATTTGACAAGTACATAACCACACAGGTTACACGTTTAACGGGTTTTTTTCACTTTGGAGAAATTAATTATGAATGCGAAAACGTGTTCTAGCTGCGAGACACTTACAACTATCAGTGTACTGACAAGACGCTTGAAAATGTGAAGCATTGCATTAATTTAACTAGAATATTGCGGGCCCTTAGGGCCACACCTGAGGACGCCAAAAGGCGTCCTCAGGCGTGGCGTGGACCAATCAGTTTCAAAGACAATGCATATATTATGGGAGTATGTTTTTTGTTTGCATTCTGACCACAAGTATTGTGGTTAATGCAGACTTGATTCCTTGTAAAAGGTTTCAGTTTGGTATTCTTAGGTTTTTTCGGTAAAGTCACGTGACTTTACCGAAGAAACCTAAGAATATGAATCCTTGCAGTCACGAAAGCTTCAAATCTAGAATTAAAGTTTCAGTTTGGTGTTTTAACATCTCAACGCCTGTTTTGTTGCCAGAAAAAAGGGGAAAACCTATTATCCTGAAATAAGATCAATAAACAACGAATTAACCAACTCCCCCACCCACCGCCGCAACCCCCCCCCGACCCCCACCATCCCCCCCCCCACCCCAGATTCTCCCCCCCGCAACCCCCCCGACCTCCCCACCCACCGCCGCAAACCCCCCCCCCCGACTCCACACCCTCCCCCCAGCAACCCCCCCCGACCCCCCCACCCTGCCCCCGACACCCCCACCCTTCCCCCGCAATCCCCCCACCCTCCCCCCGCAACCCCCCCACCCTCCCCCCCGCAACCCCCCCACCCTCCCCCCTGCAACCCCCCCACCCTCCCCCCCGCAACCCCCCCACCCTCCCCCCCGCAACACCCCCCGACCTCCCCCCACCTGCACCCCCATCCACGCGACTGTGATCGATCGCGCGCGAAGCTTTGACGCCGCTACCATGGCGACCGCGCTCACGTCTCGCGAGAGTCACGCGAGAGTCTCGCGCGCGCGCAAACCGGAAGAGGCGGTTCAAACGGTCGTGCGCGCGACAGCGGCGGTGGTCACGTGAGCGACGCCGCTCGTTACTTTTCAAGTTACTCCGCTCGTTACAATTCCGTTACTTCGAGTTACTCAGTCGCTTTTTAATCGTAGTTCCTCGGCTGCGAATCTGTTAATATTCCGCCATTTATTTGTTCGTTATTTCACGGATACGAAGCTGTTGTGTTTTTTTCCTTTAGCCGTCTCTTTCCCTGACACTCAAGAGGCGTTACTTTCCAGCCATCTCGAGTTGTCGCTTGAGGTAAATTGAACCAAGGAGGCAACGCTGCTCCCTCGCACGCACCCAACACCACCCCCCAGTCGAATCGTCGCGGCATTGTTACGACAAGCAGAGGGGGGAGGCGCAGTGCACACACAACAACATCGTTGTACTGTACAGAACTATAAATGATGTGGTCCTCCGCGTCTTCTACACCAACCCGCCACTGACCTGCGTGAATTGTGGCCAAATAACTCCCCACCACCACGCACGGGCTTTGCTAGCCCCCCTCTCTCATCCAGCGGTGGATTGACAGGCTATGTTACGCGTATACTGCACCACGTACTTGCACGTTTCGCGTCGTCCTCACGCGAGTTTGAAGCTTTAGCGAGGGCATGAGACAGACTTTCACGTTGCGGTGAAGGCGGCTTTACACCTGACATGTGAGTTGCATGCAACTTGGGTTTCTTGTAACTTGGTGGCATGTACACTGAATCGCTTATTTCAAGCGGGTTCACACCCGAGGGATCAGTTGCCAGTCCCTCCAGAAAAACGCGGAGTTTTTTGGTGATTGTTGCGGGCAAAAATCGTTGATTATGCGGCACGTTTTCTTAAAAAATGCGATGGAATATGCGGGATATTTATACAATTTTATGCGATTAAATTGCGGGAACTGGCAAAAACTGCGGTTTGATGAAAAAGAGAAAAAAAAGTGATTCCCCCAACACCCTATTCACTAGGCTACTACTTTAATGTAAAGAGTCATTTCTTATTACTTCCTATGATAAGCAAGCATACTACATCACAGAAAGTGCTGGAATATTTAAGTTCTCATCTTGTTTTATTTCAGACCTTAACAAACAGATGGCTCAAACTTACAAAACATTGAGTCGAACAAGTCCTGTAGCTTTACAAAATGAATATGCTACAACTTCTGTAAAAATGAATAAATAAAATATTAAAAAATAAAATGTGTGCTTCCTGTTTTACAGAGGTAGCTATACAAAACAGACATCTGTTAAAATAAGTGTTTTCAGTGCACAGTAACGTAAGCAATACAGTAACAGTACAGTCTTACAGTAATGTAAATTTACATACTACTAACAAAAAAGTGCAATCTTACAACTGTAAAGTTGCATAAACTCCTGAATAAAACTAACTACGTAGCCTCTAACACTTCATAACGTTCCCATGGCAACAGGGGAAATGGCTGCGCTTGTGTGAAGTAAACGCAACATTTTTCAACTTTCTGCTAAGATATATGTGACTTTTTGCAACGAAAATGCGGGGATTATGAAATCATGCAAGCCCGCATATTTTGCGCGCGGAAATCTGCAATTTATGCAGCGAAAGTGCGGCGTATTTGAAAAAAACGCGCCCCCCGCATAAATATGCGGACTTTGGCTGATTTTGCATGGAATCATGCGATCGCATAATCGCGTTTTTCTGGAGGGACTGAGTTGCACGCAACTTAATCGATGTTTTTGTGTACGTCTCTAGCAACGTCTCAGGCAATTAAGTTGCGCGATTTCAAGAGCTTATTCAGTTGTGCAACTTGATGGCTCAGGTGGCTTGCAGACGCGAACAGTTTAAGGCGCATAGACGTCAACTTGGTTAACGATGGTGACGTCTGCATTTGTTACTAAAGTGTTGTAATGATTGATTTGGTCGTTACTTTAAGGTATTTTTTTCTCTTCTCAAACAGTCGAGGAAATTCCACATTCCCACTGGAGGTAGTTTCTCTATAGGATGATTCATTGGTGGCTTATTACAAAATCACAATTATTTTAGCCAACCTGAAGCTTCGAATTGTTGGATGAGTCTATTACTGAGAGGGATTATAATTGTGTTAGTTAAGTGTGCTGCTTTGCTGGCAAAATATGCACAGTAAATGTCAAATACAGGATATGTTATTGTGTCCACAACTGGCAACATTGGAATCGTCTTGCAAACTGAAAATTATTCACAAAGTCAAAAGTGTCGCCTTGTTTAGTTATCAAGGTGAGGGGCCGTCCATAAATGACGTCACGCGATTTTGGCCGATTCTTGACCCCCCCTCAAATATGACGTCACAAAGCTCTGCCCCCCCCCCCCCAAAGCCATATTTCCATTTTGAAAATAAAACATGCTTAAAATCACTTTAAACTACTGTATTGTCATTGTAGTGCGTATTTAATGTGGCGCTGCATTCTGATGTTGTAGGAGAAAACACGTATAAATTTATCATAAAATTCACTTGAAAATATTCAACGTCTAACTAAAACTGCAGATGTTCAGAATATCATATTCAAATTCTCCTATAATTATAAAATATTAAAAGTAATTATAACTATAAAAAATACTTGAAACTTTGTAGTAGAACGAAGCAAAATGGAGAGTACAATTATAACAATCACATATTCATTCCACAGAATTAAAAGCCCTGGTAGAATAATAAAAAGAAAAATGTTTAATAACAATCATTCAAAAAAATTACAAAATGTATGCTTCTCCATTCTCCCATGAAAAAGCAAAATGCCCCTTCATGGAATAAATAAAAGGTGACCTTACTAAATTAAAATAATCAAATAGTTAATAATGAAAATTAATAAAAATGAGTGTTATAACAATTTTATTAAATTTAGATTTAAATCTTTCGTGACTGCAGGGATTCATATTCTTGGTTCTTTCGGTAAAGTCACGTAGAAGGGGAATAATACGTGACTTTACCGAAAGAACCAAGAATAACAATTATATTGTTTATATTTATTTAAAGTTGCGCATTTTGATGTGACGTCACATTTCTCAAACCCCCCTCCCCCCTCGTCACACATCGTCACAAATGTCTGACCCCTCTACCCCCCTAGGTGTGTGACGTCATTTATGGACGGCCCCTGAGCAATGCTCATCGGCAACCCTGGGTTATTAGCAACCTTTGACTTATTGGTATATAAACTAAACTTTAGTTTATTTTACCAGGTAAGGTCCACTGAGCTATATATCTCTTTTTCAGAAGTTACCTGGCCAAAAATGATAGCTCAACGAAGTGGCTTATCATGTGGTCATTTATAGCAGCCAAATTCTCGAAACGCATGTTTCTAAATGTGGAAGGAAAAACTGGAGGACCTGGAGAAAAATATACGCGACCACGGGAGAGCATGCAAACTCCAAATATACAGGCGTCAGCATCGGAATTGAACCCACGCCCTTCCTGTATACCAGGCAAAGTAGTTAACATCTCGCCACCACGGCACCCACAGTGGCGCTGCTTTATATCACTCCTAAAAGCAGGCCCAATCTCCATAGGTTCGCCGCTATGAATTTCCACAAAATGGTACAGTATTGATTTTATAGACTCTATAGGGATGATATGGGCTCAGTTGACCCCCAACCAAGTGTACTTTAGTTTTAATACCATAATACCGTTATTATCGACCCTCACTTTGCTTGAGTATACAGCAGTAGGTGATACAAATGTAACGTTTTGAAATTACATCAGTTTTGCCAATTCAATACTTCTAAGGACAAATTGTTTGTTGGAAAGTTACTAAAGTTTTTTGGTTCATGTGCACAGAATGTCAAGCCACAGTTTGTGGGATCTACTTGATGCTGAATTTGATCACCTCCTGGTGGACATGAAACCCTTTGTGCTTAAGCTTTCAAATAAAACAGGTGAGACACTGATCACACATTAATGTAAATGCCAAAGTTACACATACCATGTGTCCTCGGTATGATATAAAGCTGCAGCCAGTACCTGTCACCTAAAACCATTAAGGAAGGCAAGGGGAAACCATGTTGACTATTCCCTAGTTATAGTTTAAGAACACTAGCATGTGTTTTGAGGCGGGGGGGGGGGGGGGGTTCTAATGGAATCCTATAGAGGGAGAACTTGTGGAAAAAACATAACCTCCACTCGCGGGGAGGTCACCATATTTTTCAGGTCAACACTGCTGACACTCCCTGTGTTAATATAAACTTAACACATTTCTTGCCAGTCTTTTTTATTCTACCTCTCTGGTGCTACCTTTTCAGTAGTAGTCATCTTTGTTTATGACCAGTAATTCACACCCCCGCTCCACCCCCCCTGAAAACATTTATTTCTGAATAAGAGCCTTTATGTTCCCAAATACAATCCCTTTTTTCCATGGCAGTACAAGGCCATTGAGGGTTGCTTTTTTTTTGCATGTCCAAACTAAAGAAGTCAACATCTTTGTATCGTTTTCACAAAATGCTCCTGCTAACATAGCTTTTCATTTATCGTCTAATTTAATATTTTTACTTGTCTTGATACTCCCAGGATCCTTTTCAGACAGTTCATTTCTGCTACCAGTATCTTTCTTTAATCCTAAGGGTGAGGATCCATAGAGTTAAACTGGAATCACCGATGCCTCGAAGTCTCCTTTACATTGGATTATCTCACTGCCCTCATTGCAAACTGTGCCGCGCGTTCCAGAGCGCCAGTGCTGCGCACTCTGGGTTAAGAAGCTGTGTGAGCCACCGGGCGACATGCGCGCTGCCGTTTGGCGACCGGAGCGCAACGCTTACGCGAGGCTGCTGCTGGACATGCTGCGCTATGGACGGCTTGAGGGGCCCTTCTCCAGCAAGCCTCCTGCCGGCTCCCTGCAGCCTCTGCCTGCCGACCAGGCACGCCATGCCTTCATAACGCACCAAGTTTCCACATTTTGACCAACTTACCTGGAATGCACCCAATCTTGTCATATCTCGTAAGCTAAGTAGGGTTAAGCAAAGATAGTACTTGGGTGAGAGACCATCATGCATTAAACAGGATATATAGGCTGCAGGGCCACTTTGTTTGCAGCAGAGGGCATTGCAACAATATTGTATTATAATTCTATGTTCCCACCTTCAACCTGCTCTCACCAGTCTAGCAAAGTTTGGTAAAATAACCCCCACGACCCGCAGGGCGTTGGGAGGCCCTCATCCATTAGTAAAGATGACAAAAAGGCCTTTGAATTTACAAGTTTTCCTCTTCATTGAAATATATTCTATACAATTTAAAATTGTTTTCGATCAGAAATCCTGCAGCAAGAGCTGTTCTGAATTTTGCAATGATGAATGCAAATGAATTGCTTCACAAATGTAATCATGTGAAAGGAATTAGCTGTGTGGCTCCGCAAATGCAATGGATATGACGTGAGCGAATGCCGCTGAGATCCTTGACATGAATCCTAGAAGCTATCAGTGATTAAACATGATTCTCAATTAGAGCAAGTTGATTTATTCACGCCATTCACAGTTGATTGCACAATAATGGCTTTTGTAAGACTTTCCAGTTCTAAACGATAAAACAATATTGATAGTATTAGTATGGAACAAACATTTCACGGGATTTAAAGATACTTAAACTAGTGTTACTGTGAGAAACCTGATTGGAAGTTTGTCGATTTACAAATACTAATTGTAATTTGGGGTAAGTATGATATATTGTGAGAAAAAGATTTTTAAAAAATTGTAATTTGATGCATACGTTTTTGAAATGGGTGCATGATTGTTTACATTCAGCATTACTGTAGTTAGATATGGATCAGACACTTGCAAGATTTGTAATGTGACCCAACTGATATTTGGTCACATTCTGATGGGTTTGTCAAAGACTTCACCTGGTGGTTATGCCCCAATTGCCTTAAATTTAACGGTAACATATTTGCATTATATTTATTTATATTTTAATGTACTATACATTGTATAATTTTGTTAAAAACAGCTTGTAATTTCACAGAAACTAGCTGCGCTTCCTTGTATAACCCTCTGTAGCTGAGTGGATTGGACACTAGAGGGCCTCATATTACACACGAAGAGTACCATTAACTTAATTTCATGTGTTGCTAATTAAGGCGTACATAATGACAGCATTAATCAATTGTTTTGGGATTTTGCCACGAAACAATCAGATCCAACACAATGCAAATTGAATCCGATTGGAGCCGAATGGGATTTAGACCTGCTAAACTGATGGGATATAGGTTCCAATGAGCCAAATCTCTGCATCCTTATTGTGTTTTGTTTTAAATCAGTGAAGGTTATGAAGAAAAGAGTGCAATTATGTCTTAGATCTGAGCTAAAGCTGACTTATTTACTTGGTGTGTGCTGCCCTTTGCTGCCTGATGACTCGGTTCATGTATGTGGATGACACGGGAAAGAAGAGAGACGGGCCTGCTTGGGATGAGGACCTGGACAGGCTGCCCACCTGGGCAGCAGGGGAGCTTGAATCGCCGCAGCTGAGCCAAGGCTTGTCCAGGGACGCACGGAGTCACTTGGCATTTTCTGACTCATGCCAAGAGCACCGCAGGTTTGTTTTACTTCAGAAAGAAGCATATACACCGAAACCATTTGTGATGTATTTAATGATGATTTATCGCTTGACTTAAAGCTTTCGTGACTGCAGGAATTAATATTCTTTGGGTCTTTCGGTAAAGTCATGCAGATAGGCTCAAAGAAAATACCAAAAAGCAAAAACTACAACGTTTCGATCGCAACACAAGCGGTCGTCTTCAGGAAAAGGACGACTGCTTGTGTTGCGATCGAAACGTCGTAGTTTTTGTTTATTGTTATTTTCTTTGAACCTATCTACGTGACTTTACCGAAAGACCCAAAGAATATGATGATTTATGGCTTAATTTTTAATTTCTATGTTTTTTATTTTTTATTTCAGAAAATGGAAGATATCCCAAGATCGGAGTTCGCAGTCCACCAACGCTATGCATAGGTCTACGGAAGATGACCCCACAACAATTAGTGTAAGAAAATCAGAAACCCCTGAATGTCAAATGACTCTAAAAAACACATCTAAGCTGACGTTTTTAAAATTTAATTATTTTGTGTCGACTCGTTCCATGAAGAGATCTTTTCATTTTCGCACGATGCTTAGTCTGAAAATTCCTGTGTTGCATAACGGATGTTTTATTCCATTTGAAAATGCAGAAAAGAAACAATAACATGTATTCTTTGGTTCTTGCTGTAAAGTCACGTAGAAATAAATTAAATAATAGAATACGACGTTTCGATTGCAACAAAAGCAACCATCAGCAGGTACAAATGAATGAGAAAACAAACATAGTAAACTTGGAAATATAATGTAATACAACACAGAGAGTCGGCCAACACCACAGTCAACACCCCACCTGGTTGATTATTTCTCATTAATTTGTACCTGATGATGGTTGCTTGTGTTGCGATCCAAACGTCGAGTTCTATTATTGTTTAATTTATTACTACGTAACTTTACCGAAAGAACCAAAGAGTATTTCCTGCAGTCACGAAAGCTTCGAATCTAGTTTTGTAACATGTATTTAAGTTATGCAAAGTACAGTATGCAAATATAGAAATTTTGAATTGTTTTAGGATCTGTCCTGGGAGGAAACCAGTAAATATGGATGAAAGTGACTTTGAAAACCGATTGAACAGCTGGAATTTGGGGGTAAGTCATCTTGCATGTTCTGCTTGAATAACATTTACACTTGTAGCTGCAGCTAATAATGTGTATCCGTGCGGTTTTTCAACCAATTCAGTAACATGCCACAAAGACACTCCAAATATACGTCCGCATTATTTGACTTTGTTTAAGACTTTCTGTACTACCCAATATCTGATATGTCAAGTTCGTTTTGAAACCAATGTTTTGTGTTTTTAGATTGAAAACCCAAGGTATTTGCGTGAAAAGCCAATACCTTTATCACCGGTGAGTCACAGTTGCAGAATGTTATATGTGTTGATTGCTTTTCATATACGATTTGTTCAAGTTACAAAATTACTGTCTGCATTTTACTGTTAGGTTAGATCTAAGGTTTGGAGAGTATCTGAAAACTAAAGGTTCTGTCAGTCACTTTCAGCATCAGCTAATATCAGTAGGGAAATTGGAGGCAGTATACTACACCTTGCTATGTGTTTAATTGTGAATGCAGCACAGGGCTGTTCCTGTGTAAATGCAGAGCATATGGAATGGGTTGCAAAGCAACACAGACCTATGAACCTCATAGTTGGGAACCTGGTAGTAAGTGTATTTGATTAGTGTATTCATCAGAACTGGTTCAGTGTACAAGAGGGCACCAAATAACTGGTTCATTCAAGTATATTTGTGAGAAGTTTAAAAAAATTGTGACATTTTTCTAAAGTATCTCAGCTGTATTTGGTTAAAATGACAGCAGAAGCTAAGGTATGAATTCTTCGGTGTTTTTGGTGGAGGGAAATCCATAACAGCTTTTCATTCGTATTGTTACTGTGTTTTTACGAGTCCAGATTGTACCCAGGAAAGGCTCTCGGAAAATGGACCCATTATTACCTGATGCTGAAGCTTTTCATACAAAGTATCAAAAAGAGGTAAAAAAAATAACAATGCAATTAAGATTAAATGTATTACTTGTAATATAGACATTGTTTTGTGACATTATTTACATTCCCTGTAAGTTATTGAAATAATTATCAGCATTCCTGAATATTGATACAGTAGAGTACTGTCTTGTTAAAGTCATAATAAAATTACATCCATTTATAACAATTGTATATCTTTTATCTAGTATATAACAATGTATAAGGTATAGGGTGGTGTATAGTAATACAGTATATAATTTAATGTTGGGTTTGTCTATGGCAGCATATAGTACGGGGAAGCCCTGTTTGATGTAAGGGAAAAAAGTTTAGCTGGAAGCATATTATATTTTTTGCGACATAGAATTGTAATGTATTACTTACTGTTAGTAGCTCAGCTTATTGGAGAGTATATTTAGTATACTGATGATACTATGAAATTTATACTTTAGTTTTTTACGTGGTTGTTTGGTTGCTGCAGCTGCATACTATTCACATTCCTTCCCTTTGTTGGTGCTCCCCCTGCCCCTGCCCCCTCCCTTTGATGCTGCTAATCTTGCATAATGCATGGGCATAATATGACTTTGAAAACCCCCCGCCCACCTCCCACGCATTTCACAATTAGCACTATTCACATTCCTGCATTTCCCATAAATATGCTAAATTCCTCTTCAAATGCAAATTCTTTTGTCAACGCTCTCTTCCTCCTCCCTCACAGCTTAAATAGACACTCCAAACCTAAGACGTGTCATTTAGACTCTGTCTTATCGACAGACATGTTCTTCACCTGAGGACGGCTGCTTGCGGTGTGGCCGAAACGTCGTGAGAATTATTTTATTATGTTTTATTTTTATTATTTTATTACTTCCCTTCTACGTGACTTTACCGAAAGAACCAAGAAGATATGTTCGTACACTTACCATTTTTATAAAACAGACCCATTTTCCAAATTGTTCTCCAACTGATTTTCATTGTGCAGCCAAGAGGAAGTTCCATGCAAGTGGTATGGCTGTAGTCCTGTCACTACACACCGACCACCACCACCACAGTGAGACTACTTTACTGCTTGTCTGATATAGATGGGGCTCAAGATGAAGGCCATGGAGGAGCAGTTCCAGACGGAGCAAGTTGCAATGCAACTGAAGCACGAAACTCACGTACAAGAGGTGGAGCGCCGTGTCTCTCCGCGATTCCTACTTTCAGGCGCATTTCAGAATGCGCCAAGAGGGAATATCATAAATCTACCTTGCCTTCAGTGGTGCACATTGGTGGAACTTTGGGCATTTATGCAAGATTAGTTAATTATGACTTTAAACAGACAATGGCCTGTGTCACCAACAAAATAATAAAATAATATTTTGGTCTATCGGCCTATGAGCCTTGTGAACTAATTATTTTCAGCAGCATTTGTATTAGCAGGCAATCTAATACAAATCATTAGCAGAGTGTGTCCTCTTAATGAAATGCTGTGAGGTTGTCTGGTGTTAGAGGAAGGAGCTCTCTGCAAACTTGTAGGGCCTGTGACACTGACCTAGGGCAATTTATCATTACAATTACATTTCTGTTTGTTTAATTATGTTATTACAGTTACAATTATACTGTAATTACTATAATTGCAACTATACACCAAGGAAACTCGTTTATTATGAAGGAGGGATGATGCCAGCTGGTCAAGAATATTGATGGAGTGGCAGCCAATGAACAGAAGACATCTGAGAGGATGTCCACCAAGGAGATGGAGCCATGAATTAAGCTCGTGTGCAGGTGTTGGGCAGATTATGACATCGCAGCATCGTGAGCGATGTCGATGGCTAGGAAGGACTTCATTTACCAGGAGATTGGTTCCAATTCACAATTATACTTTAGCACAGCAAAACAAATGAAAATCAACCATTATGGTAACATCCACCTGCCCACCCGTGGTTGGTGGTCTTTGTTTCAAGTTGGAAGGATTTAACACCCTGTGTAGTGCACGTAAGGCATGTCAGTGTGATACTGGATCCATGCCAGATGCCCGGGGTAGAGGATACCACCTGTGTGGCTTTAATTAGTGTGGTCGTTTTGAAGGTATTGTCAGCTTTTGTTCTCGTGCTAATTGCAAGCACATTAATTTTGTCATTTATAAAAAAAAAACCGTATAAGCCTTAGATCCATAAACAAAGAAACACATGTAATTAAATTATACTTTAATTTAAACAAATTGGTACAGAATGCTGACACTTTTTTAATTCAGCAGGCCTGATAATGTCATGAAGGCTTGGTAATGAACTTAAGATTTTTATTGTAACACGATAATGTTACGTGAATCATTGGAACCTAAAATAATGTACTATTAGTACATGACATTAAAAAGGGTCATGATATTTGAATTTTCAGTACAGTGTTTTCAGTACTTTCACCATTTCTATGACCCTACATTTTTCAGTCTGATCTGTACCTATCTGCTTAGGTATATCTTTTGTTTGGAGGTACAAATTATTAACTTCTGGGAAATACCAGCAGGGTCCCGATGTGCCTCTGATTATCCAGCTAGCTGCCCTGGATTCCATTTAGACGTCCTCATGGGGGTTCAGAGATGACATTCTGGGTCACCTTTTTAATTGTTAACCTTCGTGTTGCATGGGAGGCGACCCGCGGGGAGACCAAACGACAGGCTTATTAAGGCGAGCTGAGATGGTGCGGATGCTGGGCCACACTTGTGTAATTATAGCAGATGACCTTTCTCCCACCCTTCACTAATCCGAGGTCTGATGCAAGTGTGCGCTGTCTGCAGCGGTTTATTAAGAATGCTGCCGCTTAATCGGTCTCTCTGGGAGTAGGGACTTGCTTGTAGCGCTACATTTGCAATGAATGCACCATGGCAAACTGTGAAACTGGAACGAACCTTAAGTATATGTGTGTGTGTTCAAACCTTGTTATGATGTTGCTGAGCACCATCGTTTAGCATTTCTTTCGAGATTGCAGCAATTTTTACGGCTGTTTTGTCCTTGTATATAGGTATATCTGCATTTTGGGTCCAAATATAATTTGCCATTTTGGATGTATATTTTAATTAAAGTATTTATCATAATTTATCATCATAATTAAAGTATGCATCATTAAACTCAAAACCGTCTCCATTCTCAATAAGCAATAGGTATTGCTCATATCTCTTCGTGATCTTGAGCAAGTAACTTAAATTTCACATTCCCATGGTCATGGCCAGATGTTTCCACTGACAGTGTTATCATGAACTTATATTGTTACAATAATGCTACATTTGTATGGTTATAGAAGTGTAATTCATGAATTTAAACATCGATGTTGTTGTGGCAGATTTTGGATGGAAAAAAAAGTGAACTGGAAGAACTGAATGCAGTGCATCAGAATGAGCAGAAGGAGGCTGCAGATGCAGTCAGAAAACTGGGAAAAAAAGGTGAAAGGTCAAGTTTCACAGGACAGTATTGCCTCGTTATTTGCGAGGGATATATGCTCGTGTAAAGCAAATTTCGAGGATAATGATATTGGCCTACGAAAACCTTTACCGTAAATAAATAGATAAATCTATTATATACAGTAAACTCTTGGATTGCGAGCATAATTCGTTTTGGAAACGTGTTTGTAATCCAAAGCACTCGCATATCAAAGCACTTGTATATCAGTTGTGATCACGTGACGCTCGGCAGACAAAGCGTATACACGTACTACTCGTATTGCAAGACCTCGCTCGTTTATCAAATTAATATTTATTTAAAAGTTTTGCTCGTCTTGCAAAACACTCGCAGACCAAGTTACTCGCAATCCAAGGTTTTACTGTACATGAAAATTATAATACAACAAAATAAAAATTGGTTATAATAAACAAAGTGAATAAAAATAAATCTTAAAGAATTAAAATTGTTTTAAAATGAACTTATCTTAAATTATGATGATGCTGCACAGCTAAATCACTGTATCTCATAGCTTTGTCTCACTTTATTGCATCACATTCTCTCTCATCACTTTATCTCATCACTTTATTTCTCTCTCTTTCTCGATGCAGTCGTGTAGAGTTCCAGATGCGATTCGCAGATAGCCAAAATCACGGATAGCAATTTCGTGAATACTATATGATACATTTTCCTGTTTGTCTGCAATTTGTACAATGAGCTAATGTATATTTTATAATGACCTGTATACTCTGATTCTCAATTGATGAGATATTTCATGGAATAATTCATTTTATGAAATAGGCTAATTTCCGAGTTCAATGTTACAAATACGTGATGCTTTAAAGAAATGAACAGCCAATGAAATCTCTGCAAACTCGTCGGTTTGTTGCAGTTGATGTATTGGTACAAGAATCACATGTGGTCCGAGAGACCAAGGACAAGCAGATTGAAGAGCTAATGAAGATGATGGGTCAGAGTGGGAAGAACCTGAAAAATGACTATGAGAAAAAGGTGGGCCAATATTTTATCTGTTTAATATATACTGTATCTGCTTGTGTAAACATATCTATTTTTATGTTAATAGGAGATTGAATGATAGAAAAATGGCATGTATTTATCTCTTGGGAATAAAATTATTTCATGAGGATGCAAGGAGTTATCCAACTTAAAATATTATACCAGAGCCCTTTGCACAACCTCGTTTCACAATGTCAAGTGTTATCCTCTCATATGTGTGAGAAGCCTTAGGGCGGCAGCCAGAAACTGGTATGATGTAACCCCTTTATATCAGCTGAATGAAGCCATAGCCAGCCTGGAGCAGGAGCGACTGGAGCTGCAAAAACATCACACGGGAAGCATCCAAGCACTGCTGGATGAGACTAACATGCGGTTGGCGCACATGGAGGCCGAGCACAAGGCACACGCCCTCCTAACTGTGAGTCGACGTGCGCTGTGAGCTGGGTAAAATGTTACCTTTTGTATTTTGTTTCTCTGGCCGAGTGGCGCTGTGGTTGGAGCTGATTCACGGTTAGAAATGTTTGTGGCGTTGATAGGATCAGAGGTCGATTCAGCTCATCATTCCCCCTGCGCTTAACAAAGTAACTTTTTTTTATTGACATAGTTAACAGTGGTTTCCTAAGGGCACAATAGAAAATGTGGAATTTAGACCACTGACTGAGCGACTTGGAGATTAGTACTGACTCATGCTCATTTGAGAAGGAATAATTTTGTTTGAATATTTATAATTTTGACAAAAATATCAATCATGCATGTTTAAGAGAGCCTTCATATGTAGTATATTTTAAAGAAGTTAAGTAAATGTTTTTATATTGATAGGGTATATTGTACTGTCTTGACTTAAAGCTTTCGTGACTGCAGGAATTCTTATTAATGGGTCTTTCGGTAAAGTCATGTAGATAGGTTCAAAGAAAATAATTAAAAAATATTGTTATTTTAGTTTTTTTGTTATTTTCTTTGAACCTATCTACGTGACTTTACCGAAAGACCCAACAATATATTGTACTGTTTCTAGATTTGAAGCTTTCGTGACTGCAAGGATTCATACTCTTAGTTTTTTCGGTAAAGTCATGTGACTTTACCGAAAAAACTAAGAGTATATTGTACTGTCCTTGAACATATATTAAATTTGTCTCAATAATACTTTACTTTGGATTGTAATTGTAAAGATGATTAAATAAAAATGACGTTACTAAAACATCAAAAGGGTGTAAATCAAATATGCATAAATTCAATACCACATTACTTTCACGTACCACTCATCCTCATTATGCTGTCCAACATTTTATTGAGTGGCATGGGATCACTTGATAAATAAAACATTGCCACCGCACTGTTGCTTCAGCATGCGAGGCAAGCCAGAGGGGCACCGTGGGACACACCACAGCGCATTATCCATCCAGACAATTATCTCCCGACATGCAATTGAAGGCAATATTGAATTTATGAATTTCAGAGCACAGCACTTTAGTGTATATTACATTCTGTCCTTTGTATTTCTGGCCATGCAATTTGATATTTGGAATAGGAGTCGTAAAAATATTCGAAATACTTTTAAAATGTTTTACATGTTGTGCCAACCTAATATAAGGCTTATTTTGAAGAACCACATTATTTTGTTACGCAAATTGTTACTTTGTTACTAATTTACATAAATTTTGGGGTGTTACATATACATCGAATGCTAATTTAGAGATCAAGATTGTAATAACAAAATAGAACAAATTAGAAAATACAAGAGAAAAAATAATTCCTCATTGAAACAACAACACCCGTTTTTTAATCTTTCAGAGCCAGGATTTTCAGGTAGGGGGGGGGGCAACACCCGTTTGTCATAATTATTGAATTACTGAGCATATTAATTGCTACTTGCCTACTGATTTGGGTACTTCCATTAAAAAAGAATGTGCTGCAATAAGCATGGGGCTGTGTGTAATTGTAATATCCGGTTTTGAGAACAAACAGTATTACATATTAGAAAGTGACATTTGAATTTGAATCTCGTCGTCACGTTCAGTCAATTTAACACGTAGGCTTTCGCGACCAGCAATGGCGGAGCCAGGATTTTCAGGTAGGGGGGGCAACCTCTCCAGAAATGCCATCGTAATGTTGACCTCTGTGTCTGGTGGACCCAAACTGATCACTGTTCCACCACCACTGCCAGGGCAACGTTAAAAAGGAGCTGGAGGCCCGTGTGGAGCAGCTGAAGGCAGACGGAGAGGCTCAAGTTAAACAGAAGAGCCGTCTGGAACAGGAGAATGCAGAACTAACTCACAGGAACCAGGCCCTCTCCCGGGAGCTACAGGACGTGAAGGGTTGGTGAGCTCTTTGCACGAACAATCAGGTCATGATTCAGGATCACAACTCGATTCAATAATGAAATCTGTCTCATTTTCACCATCTCGTTTTTATTTGTGTCTCGTTATGTTCTATATTATTTGGACAGTTTTGGTACTCCAATAATATGCCAATGTAACGTTACCATGTCAGTTGCATTTAGTTGGCATAAGCTGTAAATAATACATTCTTGCACCTTATTATTTGATGCTTGTATTGTGAGTCTAAGCCTCGATTTAAATTGATCGATCAATGCATCTTTATAAGTCCATTGGCAAATAATGCATTTCACATTATTATAAAATATTACACGTAAAATAATATAACAACAGGACATTACTTAACACAAGTCTTCTGCACTGTAATTGTAATGTTCATTGCCTGTCATTGGTGATCATAAATACATCAAAATGAACAATACGAAATATATCTATATACGTAATGACAGACATATATAATTAGCATTTGTGTAAAGTATATTGAATTCCTTCTTAACTGATTAGAAGGTCATAGAGCTGTCAATATAGCAGTGGCCTTACCATGGATGAGGGGAGCTAATTAATGTGTAGCTAGCAACAGTGGCTGTGGCCCAATCATCAGGAGGGGCTGCATTTGTGAGTGGGTCAATGAATGAGTCGCAAGATTACTCCAAAGCTGTCCTCTGATGTTGGCTAATATTGGTCTTTCAATGCATCTCAACCTCAGACTTGAATACACAGTGAATTAACATACTGTAGGGATTACATTCGACACATATTATTCACAACAGAGGAGGTGAGTCTTGTACATGGTTATGTGTTGCACTGTGATTGCGTTTGCAGTTACTATAGGTTACTGTAATGGTAAACGATGATTATCTAGACTTAAAACTTTCGTGACTGCAGGAATTAATATTCTTGGTTTTTTTCGGTAAAGTTACGTAAATAGAAAATAAACTCCTTTAAAAAACTTTTTTAAAAACAACGGTTTTATTCACAACTTCGATTAACTCGCCCTCGAGAAGTCCGTCAATGATGCTGCGCCTGCTACCACAACAACGCTTACTTGAATTAATTGATTACTTGATAAATTAATCTTGAATGTACAACTTTTGCTTGTGAGGGTGCCCGTAACTCGTTAGAACGGAGCAGGCTCGCCTGAGACACGTGGCGCTTGCTTCTTGGGCGAGGTCATTCGAGAGTTTAGGGACCGCGGCGTTTTTGACCTACCCAAATATGTATTTAATTAATAAGCCGTCCATACAAAATGTTAATTGCTTTAAAAGAGCCAATTAATTGATTCATTGATGCCGCTTTTGATACAGAAATGCATTGTCACTGGATCTGAGTACGTGTGCAAAATTTGGAATTCGTTGGACAACAGGAAGTAGACTAAATTTTGATTACAAGATTTGACCACCACAAACATAGGAGTCAAGTTAAGTAAAACCGTTGAACAAAAGAAAAAAATGAAAATAAAATAATAAGATGAAATAAAAATAATAATGAAAAATTTGAAAACACTATTTATTTATATCCTTTTTTTTCCGTGACTTTACCAAAAGAACCAAGAATATGATAATGATCTAATTACAAATTTAGTGGAATTCGTTTAGAATTATTGCTACTTTTAAAATGTATTAATTTAATCCAATATATGTGGATATTGCACAACTGCTATAGCTTTATTTTACTATTTTAGAACCAGTCAAGACAATAGACCTGTTGGTGGGTACAAATGTTTTTGATAATTTATAATGAAAGACAAACACATCAGCAGAAAATAATGTCGATTTGGATTTTTTTTTCCAATAATTTGTGATAACTACTTTAATCAACAAACGAAAATGAATTAGGCCAAACAAGTTTGTATGCAGAAACTCATTACAAAACAAGAAAACTGTAAAACCAGAATAATAAAAAACACGTCTTATTTTAACTATACATTGGATTGAAACTGATATGCTATGAAAAGCATAACCAGAAATGTCACATAGAAGCACTTGTGTATGCGATCAGGACGCTACGTGATTGTGCTGCGGCATAGCGCGGTGTGTGGCACAAGATGATTTCATGATTGGACACTCTACGTTGAAGCACTGGCGGTCAGTCAAGACAGGTCTCCTTGCCTCTAGGTTCGCTGCAGCACAGAGTGACACAGAACAGCTCTCTCAGGAGCACGCGCACAGCGTGAAGCAGCTGCAGGCCCGGCTGGAGGGCACCATTAACTTCCTGAAGCAGGAGCATGCGGTGGCAGCCGCCAAGGTAAGGGCGTCATGCTCAGCTGTGCCTTTAAAGCCCCTCCCCACCCGTTCTTACCAATTATCAAGTAAAAGCGTCTCCCTGCTCAAGTGAGCCTGGGGTGGTGCTCATCTCTGTCGGTGGCCCTCAGCCAGCAGTGTAAGTTTCACACGCCTAAAGAGAAAGCCAATGTACACCGTGGAGATGAGGTGACGAAATCAGCATATGTGCAGGGGCGAGATGCTTTGTTGCATCGTGGGACTGAGATATGGAGATGGCTTGGCTAGGTCTTCGTCCAGCAGTGGATTAAGCATGGTTGATGATGATTGTGAAAGCTCGTTTAACCAAAGGCCAACCTGTTGGCTTACCACAAAGTAATCCATATTTTATCGGTCTGTGTTGACTTTCGACTGGAGTTTGAAAAGGCAGCCTTCCGGTAATGATTCGAGTGCTCAGCCACAGTGACACCTGGCGATTGCTAATAACTACAAGCATATTTAGTTATGTAAAAAAACTCATAATAGTCTTGAAGTAAGCGGAGATTTGAAAGGTTAAAGGGGATTTTTTGTTAATATCGCGAAGCAGATTTCAACGACCGCATTGTTATTGATCAATACATATTTTGATAAATTAATCAGCTGCATTTCCTTTCATTAGTGTGCACACAGTGCTGATTGCTTCTGATGCCACCGTTCGGGATGTGAACTATTTACAATCAGTACTGTACAGTGATTCCTTCGTTTTAGGGAATGCCGAGCCACTGAATGACATCACATTGCATTGCATGGGGTCGAAAAAATACACCACAGCACATTTTTAAGCAAAACAACCAAATGTATTTTAATGCTGCTGCTTTTTTTAAGTGCATAATAAGCTTTATGTTTAGCTGACAAGCAATATATTTTGATGTGGGTCATTGTGGGAATGTGTATTTGACAACACTGTTGATAAAAAGCCATTGTTTTCTGAGAATATTTCTTTCAAATGGCAGTGCTTTTGCACACATGTAATCTGCTCAAAAGTACAATACCTATTCATTGTTGGGGACAACTATTATTATAGGGGTCGCAGAGTCAAAAGCATAAGTGTTTTCCATAGAGTAGTTCGTGATGAGGGTTGTCCACAATGGTTTGTGACTACTCCTGGAAGAGCATTTTGAGCAGTTTATTCATCGTGCAGGAAATGCCCCTGTTTGAATGCAACCATCGTGTGAAGTTATCTGTGTGAACACATTGCACTGCTTGCTGTTCGTTACCCTGGACATAGGCACTGCAATAATTTTACATAAAACCACTGAACCTCCGATTCGCACAGTTAGCTATGTACGGTGTGAAAGAAGTGCAACAGACATACATACTGCATGCATTATGTGTTATTATTCGGTTGGTTATGTTAAACATAGTTTTTCTGTTCATCATTTTCATTCACAACAGCTTAAATGTTAGGTTTGTAATAAGGGCGTAATTCAATCCTTCATATTGCGTTAATGTAAAATCAAACTATATTACAAAAAATTAAACCCACTTAACGCTCATTGAGTTGTTTTATGTATACTTATAATACTGTACCTGTTTCATCTTGCTAATTTTGTTGTCATTTTTGAGAATTAACTTTGTTGAATAAATATGTAAGAGGTTTTTTTTTCATAAGGAGGCTCATTGTGAAATAGTTGTTCACTGTGTAATACGTGTACTCATTTGTGAAGGCTGTAGTTCACCCATTTATTAATGATTGAGTTACATGTGTCCTGTTATGGCAGGGATTGGTACCCTTTTGGAGGCAGAGTAAGTAGTTAAATGATCTTTAACACAAAACTCCATCCTGCAGAGCAGTGGACTTGGCATTTCAGGGGCAGTCCAACGTTGTGTTTTACTCCAAGTAATGGTACTTGGTAAGGAATAAAAACAATAAAGTTTTCATACTAATTTGATGCTCTCCAGCTCAATAAAAAGGCAACTATTTTGTTTAGTGATTTACTACTGCTTTTGAATAGGATTTGCTTGCACTTTCTCCTTGGTAATTTCCAGGCAGCAGCATTCAGAGAAGATCTGGAGATGAAAGTGAACATCCTAAAGCAACAGCTTGAGGAGGTAGAGCATCAGGGGCAACTACAATTGAAGGTAAAGAAACAACCTCACTCAGGCTTTCCCGGGTTTTAACTAAGATGCATGTAATAATTCATTGATAAAAGTTTATTCTTGCATCTATTTGTGCATGTGAGAATCAATTATTTAGAATCTATGCAAAATATAACCATATTATATGCAAACCTTTCATGCTGATGGCACAAATGAGTCAACAAATTATACAAAAAAATACGGAAGTTAATGGAATCTCAGGAGAAGAGCTTAATAATTGCATTACTGTAATCTAAGTATTTTTTTTAATTGTGCCATGAGGTGCTTGTAACTCTTTTTAATGTTCCAACTAAGATTGGAAGTTTTTATGCCTTATTTTTGTTTTCTATTTCACCTTTCTGTCTCTAAAACGGGTGGTGGGTTCGATTGAAAACTGGCCAATTTGATCCAAGGGTTACTAAAAGAACACACAAACCAGCACTAAAGGGACCTTCAACATCCTGGCCCCCTACCCTCTCTAACAGAGCCGTTGTCTGAACCCTTTGGTCTCATTGCGACCCAAGGACATACTGCTTTCTACACGCCGAGCACAAGTGCTGAAAAACCAGCAGTAAATAGGTGGCATAGTAGTGCACAAAGTATAAGCTTAAAGCACCTATAGATTTGTAGGGTTATTGCTTATTAAATCATACAAATGTATCTTTAGAAATCCTAGGGTAAATTATACGTACTCAATACTTTGAAATCCAGTATTATCAGTGGCATAACCCCAGGGATATACTGTTTTTTTTAGAAATGCATAAATCCTTTTACTTTGTTTAGCGTGAAAGGGTTATTTACAATGGTCACACTGAACTCGTTTATTGGAAAATGGTTACTATACCACATTTAAGGAGAATCAGGCATATAACACTTGACTAACAATCAAACAAACTACTTATCAGCTGCATAATAATATTGTTATTTCGGCATATCAGGCTTTTTTTCAAACCGCGCTACTTGATTATGCCTATAAGGCTTTTCCTACGAGTTGTATGAGGAGATGTTTTTAAAGTTTGACTATTGTAATATTTTGTAAAACAACCAAGACCTCCCATCTACATGATAATGTTCCAAATGTTTGCTTAACAGTATTTTAATGACAGTATATTGTCACAAGAATCACATTGTACATAGCTCACAAAATTATTCACTTGTATTATTTTTCCATTTCAGTATCTACATTTCATGCCATTAAAATGTTTATTCTTATATTTTTGCATTCGGTAGTTTATTATTGATAATATTTCAAGAAATAATGCATTGCAGTTATATAGTTCAGTATGATATTGGTACAATATACTTTTTAAAAGTCTTATCAAATAGCCATTCTCCATAAAAGCTAAACTGGCAAGTGAATTCTGTAGATTTCCATAAAAAATAGTGCTCTTCTGTGTAAGGATCAGTCTCTTTAAATCGCACATCAGAGGTTAAATAACAAAGGCTTGACACTGAGCTGAGAGATTACCTCAAATAGGCGTCGTGCATGTTTTCATTAGAATTTTAACGAGCATTCTCATTAGACTTCAGTGTGTCCAAATGGGATTATAGCTGGCGGTAATGCATTCTATTTGACTAAGGGGGTAGAGTATTCATTAAGAGAAGCTTTAAAGTTTAATTGCTTATATTAAAAAATGGAAATGTTGTTTTACAAATGAAAATGTTACTTAGGCCACAATGGATCTTCACATAATGGTTTTTAAGTACAATATGATCACGGAGTGTTGTGCTTCTTTCTGAGCCGCTCATAAATTATGAATGCCACGATGCCTGACTCATAATCTGGGATTAGGCCAGATGGATTTTCTTTTTCCACCCAAACCACCTCCCAACTTTTAGTCACACCACATCACTCCATGAAAATGACAGTGCAGTGCTGACAAGTGAGCTTCTGCAGACCCATTTTAAAGTGAGATAATGTATTCAGCGTGTCTCTGGGAAGCACAGTGTTTTGGCAACTCCAAGTTATAATTGACCTGCTGGGGAGCTGGAACCTTTCTTGGGCCTCGTGGGATCGCTGGCCTGGTGTCAGGCCTCCTATCCTGGCTGTCTGTCGGTCAGGCTACTGCTCAGATTGTGCCTGGCCACTTGGGAAGAGCAAAACAACGTCCACATCTGCTGTCTTTCTGGATTTATGAATTCTCTAATTTTAGTGTATTCATATTTGTGTGTGTTATATGCTGCATACTTTTTATTTGTTCTTACAGCAATAATGAGTACAATGGCCAATAGATATTCTCTCTTGCATTGCTCTGATTTAGAACTGCAGTACTTATTAGTAGTGTAGAAATTTGGTTTTGTTTACTACATCTATGATTTATAATATTTGCCTTGAGTCCATATTTATATTTGATGTATTCCTATATCTGTTGTGTTTTGTGCATTTGTTATTAAGCTGATCAAATCTGTGTGTTGACAATATTAAGGTTAAAACATCCATAATAGAGGTCTTTGGGTTATATCATGTAAATCTATAAATGTGTCGTTAAAACCCACCACCACCCGACACAGCCAACTAGTAAGGGTTGTCACGTAAACAGAACATTCCAATTCGTCACTAGTACAGTTTATGTGACAACCCTTACTAGTTGGCTGTGTCGGATGGTGGCGGGTTTTAACGACACGTTTATATATTTATGCGATCTAACCCAAAAACCTCTTATGGATGATATTGGTCGCCAAAGCCTACGTGTTAAACAGGTTAAAACATGTATTTGTTGGTTTTATATATATGTAATTTCTTAGCCACACCATGTTTTTTTCAGGAATCGGAAGCAATATTTCGGGAGGAAAAATTTCAGTTAGAACATCTTTATGAAACAAAGGTATGATGCATGCGTCACTTATAGAGGAATTTACTTGTCTTTTAACAAAAAAACATTTCACTGTCAGAATTTAACCTGCCAATTATAATACAATAATGAATTCAATTCATTCATATTTACCACTGCATGAGATTCTTAAGGGGTGGTTATGTTATGGATCTATGTGTTCATAAATTTGTAGACTTGACACTGCTGGCTCCGAAATACTGACGAATGAGCATTGCCTCTCTCCCTTTTGAGCATGGAGACAATTAGAATTATTATATGATCATATTTATAATTCTGTTATTTTTCAGTGCTCTACTATAGCTGTGAACTCCCAGCTCATCTTTAACTGAAGTGAATTGTAGATTTACTGATGCATTGGCAGTGATATCTGCATGGAGAATCCCTCATCCGGCTTTACTTGACTCTTTTCTTCCGAGATTATCTGGAGGATTGGAAGCTGGTAGCCAACAGTCAGATCAAATTGGCTGCTGCTTAGATCCCTATAGCATTCTTGCAATCCCAACCCTGGCAATATTACAGCTATCTCAACATATATGGCAAACCCTTTGATGAACCGAACTGCATAAAATAAGATGCATAATTTAAACACAGGATGGGAGACCGTAAGTGACTAGCGGAGGCAGAGGGTGAAAATGGCTCCTAAGAAGGCAGCAGGTCTCAAGAGATACGTGCATGTTGTATGAGTTGGAGTCGAAGTTACTTACGTTGAGTTGTAAATTATTTGTGAGAGCATGAACAGAATGATTTTTTTAAGCATTTGTTAAATTATACAATTGGAATGTGCGCATTTAACCTTAATTATATCTCAACAGCTGAAATCTGCACAAGGCAAATTGGAGCAGGAAAAGGAAGGTTGCCAAAAATCCATCACAGCGTTAGAAACTGCATTGAGGTTGGTTATTTATCTTTTTTATTGTATATAAATGGCATTCGTACCACCTGCGCAGATGTGCCGCTCTTTTTACGCATGTTGATTTAAGCAAAGGGCTTTCTGTGTAGGGACAAGGAGGAGCAGCTGAGAAAGGTGCGAGAAATGCAAGCGCGTACAGGCCCGGCAGGCCGACGCAACACTGGAGCAGCTCAGAAAGGAAGTGGAGCTTAACACGGAGAAAGTGTTGATAGAGATGAAACAGCAGGTTCACAATTGTCTTTTTTATTTTGCAATGGGCACGCACTTGACACACACAATAAACATGTATGTTTGTTTGTTGAACTTCTTTCGCACCGTACGTAGCCAACCGTGATTGGATAAACCTTGTGTGCAGCACTGGGTGTACAGTTTGTACTCTTTCAGGATTGACCTGAACGTTTGGTAAATTGGCCATTACTGTCTGGGTTGCAGAACTGAAGCAACCTTGATGTAACAATGTCGGTTATTTTTTCCCCAGCCAATGACATTTCTTGGGTTTTTGTAATTTTTACATTTTAATATGAGTCATCCCAATGGAGCAGTGTAATGTATGGTCAAATAACCCCATGGACCACATGGCGTGGGGTGGTCTTCGTCCAGCAGTGGATTAACAAAGGGATGTACGTGAACATAGTCATCCCAATGCAGGAGGAGACTGCATTAGGATGTTTGACAAGTGGTTGTCCTTTGGGAGAAAAATGGAGGACACTCGTACAAGTGGATGTAATATTCAAAACTGTACACACAGGTCAATGACCCACTTTTTGTAGTGCCACCATCTAGTCACCTAAACCAGCAGGTTTAGAAGTCTTAACACATGTTTGCAGTCTACCATCCCCTATCCAATGTTTGGATGACAGATGTGGGGTACCACACCCAGCAATGCCACATTTGTCTAGGACCCTAACCAGGTCTGACAAATAAAAGGCGAAGAAAATAGCTGTGCACGATTGTCTGAAGTGTTTTAGCCTGCGTTGAAAACAGTACCCCTTCATATATTGTATTACTTTGCTTGTTTACCCAGGAAAGCGTCACTGAGTGTCATGACAATTTCTTTGGTACGGTCCTGCCAAGTTTCCACAATGGACGGCAGTGATTCCGATGTATGTTCCAATTAAGCAATTTGCTAGAAATGTTATCAAATTCGGGCCATGATGCCTACACACACTGGTCTGCTCTTGCAAACAACGTCACGGGGTCTTTAACGTCCACTGTGAAGCAGACGGCATCTATATTGAGGGTTAGCACACCAGCAGTATGAACGAGGGCAGCCACCGGATTCGAACTGTGAATCTCTGCAAGAAGCGGCAAATGCGGTACCGATCGGCCATTTGACCACCCATCTGTAGTTCAGCTTTTTTGGCATGTCGCTAAAAACAAAATTACAGATCAATATTTGTTTTACTGTCTTGACAGATGGTACATTGTTTGACATTCGGAAGTATAAACAAGTATGCAAGTTGAGAAAATGGTGAACAGTATTGTAAAGTTGTGTCTTGTTAGTTTTGTCGGCATTCATCTTAAGATATCGACTCAATAGTGTTTTTAGTTAGTGAAGGATGCAACTCATTGGTTGTATTTAGGCTTTCCGTATATAATTTGAAGATGTTACTTTAAAAAAAGACTTATAAAATGAACCAAGCTCCAAATTAAGTTTGAACCACCTCCGTTTATTGGTCAGGAAGTTTGCCCATTATTTCAGCTAAACATCATGATCATAATCGTCAGCCACGGTAAATCCACTTCTGAATCAAGGCCTTTCCAAGTTTCCACCGTGCCTAAAAATAAAATTATTTTATATTTGCATATATATCTAGACAACTCTTGAATATTTGTTTCTGTTTATTATACTTTTTCGACCTAAATCTTCATATATTGTTTGATAGCATATTTTTATCCAAACACATTTCTTATTTACATTTTAAGCTATTTATGCACGGTGTATTATGTATAATATACACATATATTATGTAGTATGCACGTTACATTATATTTGCTAATCCTGAAATATTTTTTTCTTTCTATAGACTTTTAAGTAACCAGGGGTGTATTCCACACTTACTAATTGATGTTGACAGACACGTTGCTTTGATGCACGCTATGCATTTACTTTGGTGCCAAAACATCCTTTCATTGCTTCCAGCTGCCATGCTGGCCCCTGTAAATCCAATTTTTCGCTCATGTAATGTATTCTGTAGATGCAGAGGGTGGAGGAGGACCTCAGAAGAGCCAAGGCCGTGCGCGAGCGGCAGGCCGAGGAGTTTTCTCATCAGCAGCAAGCGCTACAGCAGCAGCATGAGCAGCAGGTGATGGCGCTTTCACTTGGCTGTCTCCTGGCACCGGTGGTGTGTGACATTTACCTGTGCCCATTGACTCCGTGAATGCCCGGTATAGCCACTTATATTGCGGTGAAGACTTCAGCGCTTATCCCTGCAGTTGTTTTGATTCGTTACACGACTGAGGCACCACCGGCGAATAGATTTATAACTACATGTAGAAATGCAATTGAAAGACAAGGGAGTGTATTAACTCTTATCTTTTTCTCAGATTGTTATGCTTAGGTTTAAATTGACGTAAATATTTTAAATAATTAAAAACACACCCACCAGTTATTCAAAATTATAACGATTCAATCATACCTGCATTGTGAATGTTAATAAAATGATAATGTTACGATAAACATTTATTAACGGACACTGCAAATGTGATCTTAAGCGATCTTAAGTTACTCGTACATTGCCAAAATTTGGTACAGCTCTTCTGGTTTTCGGCTACTATTTCCACTTAAGGTACGCTGTACAGGACGATAGCAACCACACCCAGCCTTCAAAGTAATCACGCGCACGCACCCTCACGTCGTTCCACGCCGTCGCGTCGATGCGACGCAGCTCACCTATATCGGTCGTCCAATCAGCTGCGGGACGTGCGGCTCCATTGCGAAGAGGAGAAGTCTCGACTGCTGGAGCAGCACGCCACTCACATGGAGAGTGTTGCCCGCACACACGCCGCCACCCTCGAACAGCGCCAGCGCGATCTGCAAGCCACCGTGGCCGAGCGTGAAAATCAGGCCAGAGAATGGAGGCACAAGGATGCAGAGGTAAGTAATGTGCGACGCGCTGTAACACGTGCGCCACCACAGCGGCAAAATGGCAGCGTCATTGTTGTCGTTGTCATCATCATCGTGATCGTTGTAAATGGGGATTTGTTCGATATTTTTTTTTCTTTCGCCCGTACGGCAGAAGGGCCCAGCCATTTTTGTGCATTCGTTGCGCAGTTGTTGAGTGTGCGACATTTCAGGCGAAGGGGCCAACATGAATCCTTTCCAGATGCCTTTCTTTACTTATAGGCAATTTTGAGCACGCAACATTGTGCCAGTCCATAAAAAGATGTCTGCATTGCTATAACAGCGCAATTCATGTTACATGGAACTAAAAGATACCGTAGGCGTATTAAGGTTTTCTTTCATGGCCGCTTAAATAAAATGTCCTCATGGTCATCAAACATTGTCCGTGAAGGAGTATATTTAGTTAGCATTTGCTCTGAATCCGGAGATGCTATGCTTCCAATTAGATGTGACACGGCAAGGAGCGGCACCGTGTTACAGCCCTCAAAGTGGCTTTTCTGCCGGGCTGGAGCTTGCCCCCCTGTTGTGCAACCATGAAACGTATCAATAATCCCTTCTGGCATGGAAAAAGCAAGCAGAAAATGGACAATAATGCTGCAGAATTATAAATCATCTGGATATATTTCAAATAACACTTTCTTTAAAGTGTCTTATGTATCAAGTGTTTTCTTGGTGGGAAATGTCCAATTTAACTCCACACTCTTTGTGTTGAGGAATGTAGTTTGGGGTTTAAACAAGTGCTATTGGCCTTCTGCATTCATTGAGAATATAATGGATACAAACTATACACCTACAAAACGTGGTCAAAGGAATATAGTGTTTTCTTTTAAATGCACATATGCATTTTAAGAAATTAAACTTTACAAATGTGATACATAGATTTGATGTACAGGTAGTCGTTTGTTTATAGCATTGTCCTTGGCAACAGAAAAAGGACCCCTCCTGGCCTGTGCTTTCCCAGAGCTTAACTTAAAGAAAGATATTGTCATAATAATCCTATATCTGTGCAAGAAATCCTGAATGTCTCAAGACTCTTTCGATAAGATCCTACTTAAGATGTTTCGCTCATTGCTTATTGAATACTGTGTTGCAACCGGAGTACCATTTGAGAAAACTCACACATATGAGTGAATAACAACAACAACAAATATCAATGTAGATTGCTTCGCAACCTATTTGCCCTCAAAGTGGGTGTCTCGTGCACAAGATGAAATCTGTGCGACCCACCAACCCCGCCTCCAGGGAGAGCTCCTAAGAGCTGGGTTGCAGACGTGCGCCACCATTCCTGGCCCATTTACAAGAGCGTTCATTCACTGGCAGGGCACCAGTGTTTGTGCATTAAATTGGCGACAATGAGTGGCTCACGGGTGTTGCAACCAAGGCCCTGCCACACAGCAATATGTTCCGTGCGTACACAGACTATAGCGCAGTTGGAAGAGACGGTGCTGAAGCTGCAGGAGGAGGTGGAGCAGGCAAACTGCCTGCGCAAGCAGCAGCTAGTGGAGCTGGGGCTTCTGCGTGAGGAGGAAAAGCAGGCCACCCTGCTGCAACACGAGACCACCTGCGCCCAGATCCGAGCCGAGGCCGAGAGGACCACGCTGGACGCGCATAAGCAGCACGCTGTTGAGATAGAGCAGGCTTCCGCCAAGGTGAGCTGCTCTTCTTCTCGGCTGTGAGAGTTGACCCCAGCGTGTGTCACATCTGTGGATCGGCATAAAACTCAGTTTATTATTACTATTTGTATGAGGCATTGGAATTTAAATGGAGAAATGTATCCTTTCGTCGTGATATGCCTCCTTACGTTCTGTGTTGAAAACATGTGTGGACGATCATAATGCTACTCTCCATACACTGTGTATATTTGTATGCATTTTTTTTATATTTTGCATTTGTCTACACGGGAATATGAGAGACCAGTGTAATTTTAAACTTTTCATTAAAAAGCATGGAACTTTATGAATCATATTTTGTGGAAATCGCATTTTGCAGTTCTGTAGTTCTTATACTCAGCTAGATTATTCTCGATGGGTGGTAGGAATTCTGAGATCCTAACTTTTTTTAACGTGTAGTTGTAGCAGCAAATCTGTTTACACCATGTCGTTATATTTGTAACAGTTATGTAATACTGTCCAGATAGGTGTTTGTGTCCCAATTTTGGTCTAAATTAAAAATATAACAATAACCTTAAAAAAAATGGATGTATTTGAAGTATCTTAATGAGCTCGCTTGACCTTCTTGTTTGATGCATTGTGAGTTATGTAAGTGCAGTGAATGCTTTTCTAATTTGCATCAGAGAGTTATATTCGTAATTGAATTACAATTGCAACACACTTCAAGGCCACCCAGAAAAATATTGCCAAAGTAAATTGCACAAACACATTTGGCAATGTAACAGGCAGCACTAGCCGTGATTTAATAAAACCCATACTTTAATGTCACCCACTCTAATTTCATCTCTACATATGAAGTACGCTGGCCTTTACAATCTCATTAAACAGCACGGGCATGGTCTAGCCAGTTGACACACCTGTGGCGACAGGCTTTTAAATGGCCGATTACCTGGCGCGTTCATCCCCACCATTAGGTAAATGAACAACGCTATTTGGGAAAGGTCACCTTTCTTGCGTGCTGGGTGTGCCAGCAGGGTATGGCCAGCTTGTGTCCTTGATGTCAGGAAGCTTATTTGCTTCTGCCTGAGATTAAGGTGTCTTCACAAGAAATGTATTTCCTCTGAAGTGTTCTTTTTAATTCTTTTGGAGTCCACTGTGGCTTTAAAACGGTCGTTTGAATGTTTCTGTTAAAGCCATGATCACAGGCGTTTACTTTCAATGCTGCAAAATTCTTTAGGATCATGAAAAAAGCAGTTTTAATGTGTGACGATGTTACCATGCTGCTGGTAGCTCCTTTCATCAACCGAGTCCAAGAATATAAGCACCGCCTAGCCAGGGCTGCTGCAGAAGGAGGAGAAATAGAACATGGCACACATTCCAAAAGTAATTCTCGTTACATGTGAAACTAATGAACGGTAAGTGTTGCAATTGTATATGTGTAACATTACTTATATCTTGTTGATATCATTTTTTTGGTTATCATGTATTTTCAGTTTGGACCTGATGAATTTCAAACATTATTTGACTTTACTTGATTTGGCTTCATCAGCTTCATTAGCGAAATACTGTGTTATTTTCATATGCATATTGGCGATAATATGAAATGTAAATTTATGTTGCCAATTTCATAGGATAATGATTGTTTTTTATATAGGGAACTTTCACGAAATCCAAGGAACACAACCGTTCTGCTGTTTAATTGATGTTTTCCAATTAGAAATGAATTATAGCTCATACCCTACCAAGTATTTAGATGACAATTTAGAAATATTTCAACATTTAAATCTCAGTTTAATAAAAAAAAATTACACATGCAAAAGTCACTTAAGTTGATTTGTATCGTCATTATTTGCTTCATTGGCATTGCTAATTGATTAAATTAATGTGTTCCTTAAAATTGTATTTAATGCGCTTCATATTTTTAGGTGACATTTGTTTACATGCACTGAGTGGATTATGCTAAATGTTTTCTCACGATTCATATTACAGAGCGCTGAAGAGCTAAGAACAATGGAAGTGGATTACTCCGCGAAACTCTCTCAGGCTGCAAAGGTGAGGTTTTAATTTTGTCGTATTACGTGCTGGTCATTATTGGTGCTTTTAATCCAGAATAATGTGTTTTCAAGTAATAGGGTTATTCCACCTTCATTTAATTATTGTAAAATTATCAAAGATAAAAAAAAAACTGAACCAGAACCTTCATAGAATCTTTCTTGTGTAAAGCACGAACACAGTTTTAAAAAAATACCGTTACGTTTTTGTTCTATCTTCAAACAAAAATGTAATCTTTACATTAACTGGAGGTTCTTGCTACATGTTAGGCGACGTAATCAACTGCCTTATACAGCTAACAGTGGTGAGTGATATCTGAATTGATCATCGGCTTTCCCCCTCACCAACCCAAACTGACCATACATGGTGAAGTATGGTCAAACAATCCCCACAACTGACAGTATGGGGAGGCCTTCATCCAGAAGAGCATTGACAAGAGGGCTGTAAATTATCACTATATCATTTTGTACAAAGTCGATGTGTTGTCAAATGCAGCCCATGGTGATGTGGTGTACCCGCACACAAACCTTGTGCAATACAGTCAGCGCAGTTTTGGGGTCTCTGACATGAAGACCTGGAATCAGTTACCGGGGGCAGATGTTCTGGATTCATCCTTGAGTCGGAGGAGCCAGTTTTGCAACAGACTGAAGCACTTCTGGGCTTTGTGAGAATTGCGCTTTCGAAAACCAAGTTTATTTATATTACTATGTTAAAAGTATGATCAATGCGCATTCGTAATTGACTGGACTCGAGTGTGTGACAACAAGTGTTCAGACTTATAAATGAACTTGATATGATACTGAGGCAAAGCAAAGCTCGCAATGAAAGCATCTGTTTTGCCTGCAGTTCGCTGTTGTTTTGACTGTTGTCCATATCCAGTCCATCAAGACCAACTGGTGCAGAATGTGGATTGATTCTAGAAATACAGTTTTAAATCGTGGCATGCCTTGCCACTGTTGGACATTTCCACAGCTATTTCTCAAATCAAGGCAATGTGTGGTAAAAGAGCAAATATTCATCATCATCATGATCTGTGGGCAGATGGCCGTAGGTGTCCACTGCGCATTTCGTCGTTTGTTTCCACTTTCCTCTGTCTTGTGCCAATATGCGCAAGTAGTGCGCATGTTTCTGGCACCAATTTTTTATGTCGTCAAACCATTCTGTGTAAGGTCTTCCTCTCCTTCGGGTTCCTTCCATTTTTCCCAATAACACACTTTTAATTTTGCTGTTGTTGCCCATCCTACATATTTGTACAAATAATGCAAGTTTCCTTTTCATCACTGACTGCATAAGGTCTTCCATTCTCAACCTTTTTATACTACTTTGGTCAATTTGGGTCTTGTTTAGATGCAGTATACTTCTATAGCAATACATTTCGAATGCTGATAACTTATCTCTGTCAGTCTTTTTCAAAGTCCAAGTCTCGCAGGCATACAAAGCTGTAGTGAACACACATGTTCTTAAGATGCTCATTTTGGTCTTGTGGCCGATTTGCTTGCTTCTCCAGATGTTATTGAATCCTACCGTTACTCCTTTTGCCTTTGCGATCCTCGCTCTTATGTCTTATGTGCAAATGTCGTCTCATGTCAATAGGCTTCTCAAGTATACACATTCCTTTACATTTTAAATCTTTCTCCTTTCTGGTATTACTTCTTTCTAGATGTTCTTCCTTCCGAACACCATCGTTTTTGTCTTTTCCATGCTAATTCGCAGTTCTGCATCCTTTCCTGACTTCTATGTGGTAAAAGAGAAATTATTACAAGTACTCACGTGCGTATTTATACACTCTAATGAACACTGAAACAGATTTGTAAAAAAAAAACCGTAATGTTGTACAGCATTTGCACCTTTGTACGTGTGCTGCTTTTCTCTATATATAAAAGGCAAAGTTGTGATTATGTGTGTCTGTTCAAAATGTTTAGCGTACTTCCCGACATGCAACAAACTTGAGATTTGCCATGTCGGTACTTTCCAGACTGTACACCATGCCAAAATTATGAAAATACAGTTTTGTTTTTTTTTTGGTGGGGGGGGGGGGGGCTCAATAATGCATATATTGTTTGCACGGCAAGTGAACGCATTGTAGTGTAGTGGTTAGCGCGCCGCGCTACGAACCCGGCGACCCGAGTTCGATTCCCGCTCACGGCCACCACCGGTGACGATTATTTCAACCAGTCCTGGGCCTCCCCTAGGTCGACTCAGCCTCAAACGAGTAACTGGTGTGGTGTGTGAACATCGCCACTGGGGAGACAAAATTAAAGCCTGGTTATTTATGTATTTCCCATTGCGACTACAGAATGCATGTATTTGATGTGAAACTTACAACCAAATCTTGATTTGAAGCTTTCGTAAAGTCACGTAGCTATAAAATAAAATAAATCACGACGTTTCGGGCGCAACATGAGCGTCCGTCATCAACCAAAGTCGAAACAACAGTCAGTCTACTGTTAAATAAACTTCTAATACATAGAATATAACTACATTTTTGTACACATGGTGTCCCCGGGGTATTAAAGTTTTGCATGTTAATGTTTCGCCATGCAGCTTGTTTGCTGAAAGGGCATGTTGTTCAACTAATGCATTTGTTTTACATAAGCTGCTATGTCAATAGTCTGAGCCTTCAGGTGTAACTTGCTTGCATGGGGGAGCAGTGGAATCGTGGCTACTGCACTGTACTTAAATTCCAGTTAGATTCCTGGTCATGCACATTAGTGGACATCGGTGTTTGAACCTAACCAGAGCCTCTGCTCGGTTCAACTCTTCAAGAAATGAGTACCAGGTGTGATCAGCAGTGAGGAGACATGCGGCCAGGCATGTTGCTCGTGTAGGGATGTTGGAGAGAGGGCCGTTATGCATGGCAGCCTATGGGAAAGAAACACAGTGGGCGGGGCTACGTGTGTGCACAGGGAGATGCCCTCTGCGACGTCCGAGCCAGACACCCTGGGGGGGGGCTGGTTCGGCGTTACGATCCCCCGGGGCCCCACCCCTCAAGGAGGGTTGGGTATAAAAAGGGGTCGTTATATGGGCTTAGTCAGTTATGTTATAGTTAAGCTAAGAAGTCGGAAGACGTCGTAGCTAGAGCCCTGGACTCCCCCTGATCGCCGCCCTTATCAGGGCCCCACGGGATCAGGCTCGAGCCAGTGGCGTGGTCCCGTGAACCAGAGCCAGTGCTCTGGGACTCCGGGTACCGAGCCCGATTACCAGTGTCGGGCCAGACAGCCTCCCCTAGCTCTTAGTGGAGGACTCAGGGGATAGGCTATGGATAGCTAGGGGTATTCCCTGAGTTATACGGGTGAGGGGGCCGCTACCCCCTCTAGGGCTGTCCTGTACTGGCAACTTGTTAAATAAATATACGTGTGCCTCAACTCCGTTGTCAAGCGTCCTCGACGGGTACTTCATCTGGCGTCAGAAGTGGTAAAAATGGAAACGCGCCATACAGCTCGGACCAGGGTACCACAAGAGGAGGACGCCGCGGAGATCGCCGAGCCCGAGACAGAGCAACAAGATGGGGTGCAGCCGGAGCCTGGCGCCTCCTCACCGGGACGTCAGCATGGAGAGGGGCCGCAGCCAGATGCACTACGACTGGCTCACGAACGGCTGGCGGAGCTACTTTATGCCGCTGCCGCCACACTGGAAGGCATTACGCGGTTGGGGGCTGGTGGTCCACCGCAGGGCGAGGAGAACCGGCGGCCGGAGCACTTTCCCGCCATTTCAGCGACTTCACAATTTGAATTTCCCGCCATGGACGCCGCGGCTGTTCGGGGCGTGGCCAGCTTAGACATCGGCTCCGACATCGCCGTCGCCGGGGCTGCAGCGTCATCGCAGCCGAAGGATGCGTCATCGCTGCCGCGACAGGCGATGCCATCGGCCAGTCGCGCCGAGGCACCGCCAAAGGGAGGTGAAAGCAACCTGCGGGAGTCCACATCGACCGCTGCGCTTCACCAAAGGCTGCCCCCGCTGAAGGAATTCATCGGTGCGGAGGGTGACTGGGGCGGCTTCCGGCGACGCTTCCTCGCCCATCAGGAGATGGCGCGGTGGTCCGACGAGGAGGCCCTTTGCGCGCTGCCGGCGCTCCTCGATGGGGACGCGCTCGCCGCACTCACGTCGGCGCCAAAAGAGAAGCGGGCTACACTACCAATGGCGCTACAGCTGCTGGCCGGGGTCTATGGACCTTCAGCCGAATGCCGTCAGCAGTTCTACGATCGCAGGCGGGGTGAAAAAGAGTCGCCTCTGGCTTTCCGGACAAGTCTTCTGGCGCTGGCAAAAACAGCCTTTCCCCGCATGGACGACGACGGCGTGGACGCAATGGTCGCGGAGAAGATCCTCCTCTTGGCGGACGACCTCGACATCGTCGTCATCGCACAAGGGGATGCAGAAATGACCTCCCTCCAGGCTGCGCGACTCCTCCACGCCAACCTTCTGCAGCAGCGGCGAAAGGCAAACAGGGCATCGGCTGGGCGTGCGGTGGCTGCAGCCACCCTTCCGTCAGAAGAACTTTATGCCGTCGACCATCGACGGCAACAGACGACGGGGGCGCGGCCGGGTCGGGACGGGCCGAGGCGTTTCGACCGTCCATCGTCTCCATCGGCGCTCCCGCGGTGCTTCAACTGCGGCATCCGGGGCCATGTCGCCTCGGGGTGCCGTTCTCCTCGACAGCGGGGGACGACGCCTCGACAGGACGCCGGCCCTCCTCTTCCTCCTCCCAAGCTCCAGCACCATGATCCGGCGAGTCGCGGCACCTCACATGTTTGGCCAACGCACCCACCTGTCGCACACTCTCGCACCGTAACGAACGGGGGGCCGGTGGGGCGCTGCGATGGACCGGCGCGGATCACTGCGGGGACTCAAATCGAGCCCGAGCGGTGGTCCGTGTTGGCCCATCGCGTGGTGGCCGCGGCGTCGGGATCGTCGGCCGTGGTCGGTTACATTGATGGGGTGGAGGTACGCATCATAGTCGATACAGGGGCATCGGCGACAATTATTTCGGAACTAATTTACAA